CATTCCTGCATAAATTCTCTCTGGTTCAGTGAATCATCACACAGAAGAATAACTGCTTTATGAAGCTAGTTCTAAGTGTGCTTGTATCATCAAACACATCTTTTGGACATAAGTTTAAAAAGATGATTGCACTTAATCTGTATGTCTCTTAAAATGGCGTCAGAAAATTCCTATTTCTGCTCCTCCTCAAGACTCCCAGTAGTCCACTTTTCACCAGCTGTTGCCTTAATGCTACTATGTGCTTCTCAAAGTGGTCTAAAGAGTCTTGTATTTCTAATTGGTTTAACTAGGTTGAATAAACATTGTAGAGGGAAGCTTAGTGTTTAAAAAGATGTTATCCAAGCCTTTTATTTACTTTCAATTTAAAAAACAAAACAAAACCCTGAAACATCTGACAGGATTGTGTCCTTACATTTATTTTGATTAGGTTTTTGGTTTTCAGCTTGTGATGCAAGCAGCTGGTTTGTCTTGTCTTAAACTGAAAAATGCTTAAGGTTGTGGTAGTTGTACTTCTGTAGCCTGTTCTACCTAACAGTCCTTGAAGTCTTCCTGGAAATAGATAAGCTGTACTATGCTCTTTTTACAGTTTGGAAAAATGATGTACATGACTTCTCAGGAAATGAGTTGCAAAAATAAAAACAGAAAATGCAATTCTACTTCCTAATTCTGTTCTGTATCTCCACAAATATGCTGATATTTTTATGCTACCACAGGGGCGAGCCCTAAGCTTTAGAGTTGGTGATGTGGTTTTAATGGAATTCGTGTAAAAAGATGCTCAGTCAGCAGTTGGAGTTCATCAGCTGATGGCTGTCTGGCCTTCTAGCAGTTATCAGATGGTGCTTGATTATATTGCACTGTTCCAGGCATTTGCTGTGTAGTGTAAATAACTGCATAAAATCGAAAAACACTATCAGGAAACTTCAGCAAATTGCTTCTGACCACCTAAATATTAAAATTGCTCTCTTTTAGGGGCATCTGGCTCTGGTCAGAGGAAAAGCAAGGGTGGTAAAGTAAGCCCCACCAACTTTTCATCATCCGCTCCTGGCAGTCGACTTGGTGGCAACATAGTCCTGCCAAACGGAGGGCTGACAATAAGGGACCCTGCCACTGGAGCCCAGTATGTGCAAATTCAGCTTCTTCAGGTAAGAACTGAGGAGGAAAAACGTGCTCCTCTTCTCTGTTACCCAAACTGACTCGTTTATGGAAGAATCTGACTATCTGTGAACTCTGGTACCGCTGCCCCTAGATGGGGTCTTGAGATCTGCAGTATGTACCGTGTCCATTAGGGCATTTGCCCACAGGAAGCGCTTTCCTGGGAAGTTTGTATGGAACTGGCTTTAGAGAGGTCTAGAAATGCCTGAAAATGGAGCTGGTTCAATCATACAACTGCTGGGGGCCCAAACAGATGCATTGTGGAAATGGGTAAGATGTTTTTGTTTAGTTTAGTACTAATCTTCAGTCCAGCCTGGAACATACAGGCACTGTAACTGTAGGGATCATCTTAGGCTGGATACGCTTGATGTAGGAAACACTGTGGTAGAACTAAGAGCTTTAGCAAACTTCTGTTTTGTGTGTGAGAGTTGTGATCCTTTAAGGGCTTAGGATTTTCCCGGTTTGGACAGGCAGTTATGAGAGCAGCCAAACAGGTGCTACATTCCTGTCCCAAAATATGGGGTAATTGTTCTTCCAAAGGAAGGGATTACTAGCATGCATTACCTTAGGGGATGCACAGGAGTGTGACTTTTTCCTCCAATCTTTGTTGATACCCCCCCAAATTCTTACATTTCTCCGCCTCCCTCAAATCTACAAGGTAAATGAGACTGACATGAAAAGAGTCCTGCAAAATGAAGTTTCAGCCTAAAATGTTATTTTTCTAAATTGTTGAAATCAAGCTTAAGATTTTTGTTTAAAAATACCTAACAATCCATGTGGGCTAAGTAATGGAGCATGGCAGGTAATACATTTTTGGCCAGGTGTATGTCTGTATAGTACCCAGAGAAAGGGTAGGTTTATTCCACTTTATTCCTAACAACATATGGTATGGAGGAAGATAAGGGCAGATTTCTTCCTCTAATTTTCAGATGGGTGTAAACGTTTGTAACTTCTATGCTAAGTATCAGCATCACACAACGTGATGAAACTTGTCGCATGTTTCTGAGTGTTATGTTTGTTGGAAGATGAACTTGTTCCTTCCATTTCAGATCTTGCCAATTTTCCAAGTTGGTTATGATAGGATAATAGGTTGTACACTGGGTTCCGATTTAAATGGTAGTTTGCTTTCCACATATCTTTGTGGATGTAGGCCTTACTAGTACAGTGCAGTAGCTTTATCAGATTTTTTTTAAGATTGTGAGGCTGAGTGAAATTTGCCCATGTTGTGCTGAGATTCTTGGGGGTCTTGTAATCGCATCATGTTTCTGCATTCACAGGATGATTCCCCAGGAGAGGGAGATTTGCCCTTTCAACTGAGCTCTCAGTCTTCCTCATCGCATTCTCAGCTGACAGTGGATTTACCTGTTCACATACTTCAGGTACAGCATGTCAGAGCCGTTGGGTTTTATTGCCTAGCTTGAAAGGGAAAAGAGTTTGCTGTGAACACTCTGGTGTTCTGCTTAATGGGAATACCTTGTGTTCCACTGGGAGAGTAATTGCACTTACAAGAAGCAGTAAGCAGAGAGCTGCACTGCAAGATTTATCTTGTATAGGTTACCAACCTTTGATATGTCATCTGTGGTTGTTTTTCTTCCTTTGTTACTGAGTAATGAATGTTACTCATTTACTGAAGTGCCCTATCCTTGTTTTCCTGATCCCATCCTGCAGATATTAAGTGGGTCAAGAAAGAGGATCAGAATTGATATGTAACAGGCTACAGGAAGGGTGGGAAGAGGGAAATAAAATCTTGAGCCTAGATTTCAGAGCAGGGTCTATATGGGGATGGTGGTTAGATTAAAAAGCCTGCTCACTTCTACAGTCTTCTGTTTCACTACTTGCCTTTGTTAACTACTGAGTGTCAGTGTCGTTTGAATGCAGAAAGCTTCATACAGCTTCTTGCTTAAATGTTTTGTTACTTGCTGTTCTGGTAAACTGCACATTAGCGAGTAGGAGCAGCTGAGAACTGAGCAGCAATGAATGATTAACATGTACATAAACCACATTTTTTACTTGACCATGTGGGGCTTCAGTTTTGATAAACTCTGCAATGCAGTTATTCTTACCAAGTGTGCTTCTGCTGGATAGAAAATAAAACTTCTGTATTTGAGAGGAGCACTTTACTGTGATAAACCTAGAAATGCAAGAAGAGTACTAGGATTGCTGGCCATGGTAGAGAGTTAGTAGAGGAAAAGCAAAGATTGTAAATTTATCTCCTCTGGTAATGCTCCTCTGAAGTGTTCCAAACGAATACTGGAGTGGCACTGTTTGAGTGGGTCCCCAAAGTAGGAAAGCTTTGCGTTTCCTCCAAACCATTCAGAGCATTCCTCTGGTCTTGGGTAAACGTCAAGGTAATGTTACTGATAAGTGTTAAAAGCATCTAGAGACGAAAGCACTGAACTCTTCATGCTGTCTGTTTGCTTTAACAGGAACCACACAATTCCACTGAAGATGATGCAGGTTCTGATAACTCTCAGTTCACTGGAAGCACAATAAACTTACAGGATCTGGAATGATCGTTATTAAGAACAGTTACTTGAAAACAAATTGGGCAATCATGTCTTGACAGAGTGAGATAACTGTGGGTCTTTTTCCAAGGAAAATATGAAAACTAGGAGTACTGAGTTATGGTTGCACTCTTCACAATTTGCTAAGGACAGTTGCAGCTGAAAGGTTTTCTAAAAAATGTAAATTCCACTTGATGTGCCTGTGTAAGATACCCCGTCTGCCTGGTGGTTGGAGAGACCAAGGCAGACTGCTGTACAGTGTTGTTTCAGGGAGAAGTACTGTATTAAACTTCAAACTGAGGTAATATTTACTGTTTTCACAGGAAAGCAAGTATTCTACAGCTAACAAGTACAAATTTATAATCCTGTCTGTGACAATTAAAACTTCCCTTCTGTTGGTCTCCTGCTGGAGCCAGTAGCTTTGAGGAACTGAGGAATAAAAAAAAGAGCTAAAATTTGCAGGTGTTTTCCACACACACAAAAAAATTGTTTTGGACCCCGTGTTTTGGCAGAAAACTGGAATAAAGTGTCACATGTAACAAAATTAATGTCCTATGCCATGAAAACGAGATGCTCTAAAATCTTTGTTTTAGAAAGCTAGATTCTAAATGTTAACTTAGCTGTGAATCAGTTTGTAGCTCATGTTGAGTTTCTCCCTTTCCTTGCTCCTGCATCCCAAATACTTTGCTGAATTCTTCCAGCAAAACTTGAAAAAGGAAACTGCAATAGAACTGTACTCACTGTAAGTGATTAGCTAAGAGTCCAACAGCATCTTAGAGAGGTTCATTTTATCTTTGTGTTCCCTTTTTTGGGAAGAATGTTGACCGTCACATAAATTTAAGCACCTTGATTTTATCTCATCTATAAATTGCTGCCAAGTTACCTGTAAACTGGCCACTACTTTTTATTTTGGGTTGGTGTTTTGGTTTGGTTTGGTTTTTTTTCAGTTGAACACTGTTAACACTTGTTCTTTATTGATATCCCAGAGTGTCACGTGCACGTGGAGCTTCCGGCTGGTTTACAGAATATGCAGTTGTCAGAGTATTTTATGAGGGGAAAGAATTGTTACCTAGGAATATTTGTCCCACTGAAAAACTGCAGTTTCTCTAGGGGGTGGGGAGAGAGGTTGTATGGACTGTACTTATCTGGATTGCAGACACCTAAATAAGTATAGGGTTGTATAGGAACACAAAAAAACCCCTTTGGTTACATTTTAAGGTAGTAATTTAAATGTTTCTTATGGTGATGTACTGAATGCCTATAAAATTATGTATAGGAGTTTGATAAAAGGGTGTATGTACTGTTTTTTTATTCTCAATGAGGTGTGTGTGTATGCACGTATGTGTATTTTTTTTACAAAATAAGATGTCATGCAGGAGAACGTTGTGATCTTTCTAATCTTGCACATATTTATTTTACAGTTATACTGATGTTGAATTCACACGAGGTCATTCAGAAATGCTTTTACTTCCTGTGCCTTTTGAACTATGTATGTGTCCAGACAAATGCTTTTTTTTTTTTTTTTTTTTTTTTTGGTTGAAGACTTTGGGAGGAAAAAAAAAAGCATACGTGTTACATTCAACTTCAGAACCTGACTTGTAGAGGCAGTATTATATCCTCTGGTTGAACCAGTTTTATTTTTCTATCTTCAGCTTAACTGAGCATTGAGGTCTGTCTGTTCCTCTCCTCCTGAGTTTACAGCTTATGTCCAGGCAATCTCTTAACCCTCTCAGGTTGGGTTTCCAAACCAAACTAGTTGGTAGATGAGATTTTCTACCTGGTGGCTGTGACTGCAGCATGGAGTCCACTCCTGAGAGGTAGAAGGGTTGAGGAGGAATCGTGCTGAAGGGACTACTGGGTCTTGCTCTAGCGGTCACCATGCTCTCCCTGGAAGCTGAGACACCTCAAACTCCCAATGCCTGCGTTATTCTGTTCTTAAGGACCATACCAGTTCTTAATCTGTTAAAATGGCCAAGGAACACTCCATCTTTTTATGGGACTTGCAACCAAATCTTTCTACTTCTGAAAATGTACCTCACTCAGCTTTGTAAGTGAATGTAAAATGCTAACCTCTTGGGGCCGAAAATTGGATCATTTGGCTTGAACTCCATTGCTGGCAATGGATACCTGAAGAACTGCTGGTGCAAAAGGGTTAATAAAGCTGGTTTTTTTTTATGGTCAGTTTGTCACTGGGTATTGTTCTTTGTATGGATGCATCTGACATAAAGCTGATAGTTAGCGGCTTGATTTCTGCAGAGCTTGTGTTTTTCCTTCACTTGTGTCTTCCCCACGGTTTCCTTTTGATTAAAGCATAGCCTTTGTTTTTTACAGTCCTTCCACAGATTTGTGATTATAGTAAATGTCTGGCGGGTCCCTGGCTTACTCGTTCCTTAACAAAGATTGTTACCCAGGACCGCGATAGCTCTCGCTCGTCAGGTTTGTGTGGATAGTGCTATTTGTGCCAAAAAGCAAATGAGAAAAGCATTGATGCTAGCAGGAGTCTGAGAAGCAAAATGAGGATTTTTAATTTATTTTATTAGGCAAAAAATCAACTGAGGGGGGGAAGAAAGGGGTTGCCTGACAGCAACTTTCCCTGGGGCATTAGGGTAGGGGAAGAGGAGAATTTCATGGGACCGTGGAGTTCATCAACTGAGCAAAGACAAACAGAATGTAGACTCGTAAAAAACTTTTTTCTAGAGCAGCATCAGCCCTAGATGCTGTGGTTAAGGCCATGCTGTCAAGTGAAGTAATATAACTGCTCTTCCTTCTCCTTATCCATTTGTTCTTGGCTGCGCTTTTTCTTCTCCTTCCTGGCGGGTGGGTTGGAGCGGAACATCAGCCTCCTGCCGCTCTGCAGAGGAGGAGGAGGAGGCACCTGCATCAGCATGGGGCTGCAATAGTGTGTCTGAACCACGCAGCTGAAGCTGCTTCGTGCTGCCAGGCCCTCTGGCTGTGAGGGGCCCTTGCTGCCTGTTCTCTAGGCAGGTTTCAGTGTGCCTATTAAGTCTGTTTTTTCTATTAGAAAATGAGTGTGGAGCCCCTGAAGGCCATGCATGTGCTCGTGCTTCAGCTTCTACAACGTACTACTGCACCTGCGAGTGGTTTCTGACTAAAGGCTTGTTTGGACCATCTCAAGGGGAAGGGAAGTTGGAAGTCCGGAGAAATACCTGAGGGAGCCTGCAGAACCCTCTTACTTGATCTTGGGTAAGGGGGCAGGGATGCGTGGCGTCTGCTCTCAGTCGCCCGTGCTGTCACCAGCTTGGTGTGTGACTGAGAACTGGGATGTCCTCGCTGTCGTGTTGACCTGTGAAACGTGCGGCAGTGGCCACGGCCTGAAGCTCCACACTGGGCCTCCTGAGGGGCCAAGTTCAGGTGGGCGTAATGCGGAACGTGCCAAAAAAGGCCTGGTTGGATGGCATGGCTGAGCTGATCTAGGGCCTTGCTGCTGTTGTCAGGAGTGTCCTGCTGCTCCCTGGCTCCTCATTTGCTGATTTCCATGCTTTTTTTTTAATACTGCCGAGTTAACAATTTGAAATGAGCTTACTGAGAAAACTGACAAGTAATGGAGGGGGCCATGTGCTGAAGGCAGAAGGACAGGAGAAGGACGATGGAAGGACGCTGAGCTGGAACAACTCGCAGTATAACTGACTTCCCAGCAGTTGCTTAAGTTACATCAGTCCTGCAAATTGGGCTACACCTGAGTATGGGTGTCATCCCCACCCAGCTGTGGAAGCCCCCAGGAACGCTTGATGTTCAAGTACCCCCAGCTTCTCTGAAGTGGCCTGTTGCGGGGAGGTGTTCCCACAGATTACTGCACTTACTGGTTTTGTTACAGTCGCCTGCGATCTTTCCAGGGCCCTTTGCAATCTTTCCTCCTGCTGCTGCTTCTGTTGTCTCAGCTTTTCCTCTCTGAGCCTTTTGAAGGGAGCAAATAAAGGAGGGGTTAAATGTGGTGTGCAGCTACACTGAATATGCTTTTGACACACATGACCAGTGTCTTACGTTGCATCTAACAGTGTAAGACCACTGGAGCACAGGGGTTTGGGTGTAGCTGATGCTGGAGTTTGCTGCTGCGAAGGTGGGAAGAGGCAAACACTTGCTGTGGTTGATCCTACTCTTTCTGGAGTGAGGGGTCAGGCTTTGGAAATGGCGATGCCAGGCAGTTGTTCTGGGTTACAGGCGTGCTCTGTGCCACCTTCAGCAGGTGACTTTAGGCCCCACAGATGGCTGGGATGCTCACCAGCTTTCTGGGTGAGTGATGCTTACAGCATCTGCAGTTCCCACCAGTGCAACCGAGTCTGTAACGTACAGATGTGAGCAGGGGGGGTTTACAGCCATGGAGCTATGCTTCGCCTGAGCGGGCACAGTGGAGGCCAATACTGCTAATGGGCTCCAATTCCCTGGAAGCATTCAAGGCCAGGTTGGACGGGGCTCTGAGCAACCTGATCTAGTTAGCGGTGTCCCTGCTCCTGCAGGGGGGTTGGACTAGATGACCTCTAGGGGTCCCTTCCAACCCAAAACATTCTATGATTCTATGAAAATAGTGCTGGAACAGTAATGGGCTCAAGCTATGGAACACGGTGACAGAGAGGAAATGAATTCTTAGCCTTGTGATCTTCAGGAAAATTTTAAATGCTCTTTGAAGGGTTTTTTTGTGTTCAGTTGGTTTTGCTTTTTATTTGTGGTGGGGGTTGTAGATTCCTTCCTGAATTCTTCTCCTCCATCCCTAGAGTAGAATAAATGTGTGGCTTATTTCTTTCACCTCAAGCTATGGAACACGGTGACAGAGAGGAAATGAATTCTTAGCCTTGTGATCTTCAGGAAAATTTTAAATGCTCTTTGAAGGGTTTTTTTGTGTTCAGTTGGTTTTGCTTTTTATTTGTGGTGGGGGTTGTAGATTCCTTCCTGAATTCTTCTCCTCCATCCCTAGAGTAGAATAAATGTGTGGCTTATTTCTTTCACAAGTTAAGGCTGCAAAACTATTCACAGAACATAGGGAAGAAGCATCACCCCCTTTCTACTACAAAGGTGAAGAAAGATGCAGAGAAGGAGAGTAAGTAGGAGGGAAATGTCACTGTTCTGGCTTTAAATCCTCACACTATTTCATTTTTTTTCTCCGCTGGATCTGATTCACCTGAGGATGGCCAGATACAATCAGCTGTCCCGTTGCTTCTTTGCTATTTGTGAGGGGGAATTTCATGTGTGTAACTGAGCCAAAAGGAATATGCTTCATCTGGAAACCCGAGTTTATTGTGTTAATTGACTACCATTTAATTTAATAATACAAATTAAACTTAACAGTTTTGTAGAAGAAACATCTGAAAGCTGGCATTGCTGACAAATGCCCTTATGTACCTATTGAAGCCTGACAAAATATCAGGGCACGTCGGACTTCTAGTGTGTTAAATAACTATAGAGGAGTATTTTTCTATTTAACCAGTTTAAATATTGTTACCGCAACTTGTCTTTTCAAAATTATGATTTTCATCATTGAGTCTGGTTTTGGGTTCTTTTTTGTTTGTTTGGTTGGTTTTTTTTCTTCCAGACTTTTCCCTTTTCTAATATAGCTTCCAGGTCTTTTCTAACGTAGCTGTGGGCTGCTGCTTGCTGATCAGGAGATGCAAGCACTGTGGATGTGAAACCCGTACAGAAGTAAAATGGGATGAACCGGTCACATGGGCTTTCAGGTTACTGTTACGGTTTCCTGAGTGGATCTGACAAATTTGGCTCTTTCTGTGGCATTGATTTGGCTGTTAACATTTAAAAATAGAGGCCCCATTTCCACAAGAGGGTCTTGTCTTACCTTAGCCTCCGTTCCTTTCTTTTGGCTTTCTCAGCCTGTTCTATCTTTGCTGGTGGGATTCTCTCCAAGTTGTCCAGTAAATCATTGAGCTGTTTTTCTATCACCATTAACATCTGCACTGTCTGCAGGTTTGACTCATTTTCTCCAGTGCAGTGGCAATAGACTTCCAGCACCTTCTTCTTCAGGCTTGTGAGCATTTTGTCCTGGAGGTGAGAGGCACGGCTGGGTTCTGCACCGTAGAACCACAACATCCCTCCACAAGCAAAGGAAATCGGTACACTTTAATTCCCTCAACGAGACTCAATTGCTTGCTCCCTGGTCTGCTTAGCACTAGTGGCAGGGATCGATGGCTGTAACGAGCCGTTCTTCTGTCGGTCTCATCTTCCTAGCTTTGCTGTGGCCTGGGACAGGTTGCAGCTCCCTGATTGCCTCTCTGAACCCTACTGACACCTCATAGCAGCTGCATGGAGCAGACAAGTTTGCCCCAGTTTGCTGCCTCAGCTGTGCCCCAAGCCTGCCCTTGCTATAGCTCTGTTCCCAAGAAACAGTGCTGGTCCCTCCCCAGTGCAACCCACTGTCTGCTTTTTCCCCAGGCTGGATATGGCTGGTGGAGAGGCACCGTTTAGGTGCATGCCTCTATCTCAGGATGTACCTGGTCATCAGCTTTGCATTCTCCAGAGGAAAAGAGGTGAACTTTGAGCTTCAGATCTGCTAATCTCTCTTCTTCCTTGGCAATGGAGGATTTGAGGGTGACTACCTGCTGTTTCAGCTCTGCTAACTTCTTCTCCCTAGGCCAGAAGAGAAAGGAGGGATTTTGAAAAGGCATCTCTGAAACACACGGGTCCTCCACTTGCTTTCCAGCCTGGGACCATCCCTCCTGCTGCCGGCAGATGGAGGTAACACCTCATGCCATTTCAGGGGGACTTGCACCCACAGCTCTGAGAGCAGAGGGAATTTCTGATTTTTCTGGAATAACACTGTGCTGGCGTGGGTGAGGGAGAAGTAGCATAGCTAAACATTCAAGATTTTTTAATAAGTCGATGGGGGAAGTAGATTACCTTTAAAAACTTCCACAAGGGGATAAGCTACACTTTAAATGGGAATATGTGTGTCTACCTGCCATTGAAATACACTATATGGCAATTACACTCGGGTTCCCTGCTGGCTTCATCTAGGAAAGGTTTGTATTGAGTCAGGATAGGTGCTGGTCTGGATCACTCCAGGACATGTCGTGTTTCTTCCTTTGATCTTTCTTTATGAGAATTACACGATACTTCTGGCTTATGTCTACTCCAGGATGCTAAATGCATCAGTTCCCCAGCCTGTGCCTTGAGGACTAAGGAACTAGTCCCAAGCACAAGTCCTGGCTCCTA